TACTTGCGCATCTTTCATATCCGCAAATACCGAATCGGTGACTTTAAGAATGGACAAGAGCGTAATAGCTGCCTGTTCAAATAGGCAGGTAACAATGTTGACGTCCTTACCACTTTCAGCTCCGTATTAGCTTTCCTCGGAGGTATGCAGACGTGCATGAAACACTCTTGTATCCGCCAAGACGGAATTGAACAGCAGAAGGTGTGCTTTTTAAATCAAGAACTTGGCAATTTGTTGGCATAATTTGCATGAGTTGCCTTCGGCCCAACGCAAGTCAATAAGTATCCATTTCCATCACAGATAGCAGAGACAGAATCAATCGGTGAGAGATCGAGTGCATTAGGCTAGCGTTATCTTCAGCATCGACGTGGATGGGTCTCGTGCTATATGTTGGTTGCAAGGAAAACGGGGAGCAGTCGAGTTGGACGAAAAGACTGTAGGCATCGCATCGTGGGCATGGTTGATGTGGTTGGATTAAACCAGAAAACAATGGGCTTTAATAACATTCTATCCATAAACACTTACTTTTCCCATATGTTGGCTCTCGGACGTTGATCAGAGAACGAAGACAACTTACGCATTCACATGACAAGCAGCACGTGTCTAATTACTTAATAGATAGGAAACACGTTCATTCTGGAATCCATTTCGATATCATACTGGACCAACGATGGCGGCGCTTTCTTTAATAACATGATTATCTTAAACACGAAGGATTAAAAAGTGAACGTCCGTTTATTCATCTTCAATAATATGTTATAGCAAAGATAATACTATTAAACGTACAGTCATAACGATTAATGTTGTTTTAGGGTGGTAGTTAAGGCTACAAGCGTTATCAGTCGATTTACAATCACAACAGTGTACTCTCATACGATATTCAGTCTTTAAATAGTCTTTGTTAAATAAAAGCATCAAAGATTGAGTTGCCGTACTATAGTAAGCTTTCCAACAAGAACCAAATAACAATGTATAATTTAATTATATGACATATTTTTCGATCTTTACAGGAAATAGTGGCTCTGGAACTCTGAATGTTAAATGGCAGAAGATTTCCGGGTTAATAATATATCTAAGTAAGCAATATCAAGAGACCAAGGGTAGTAGAATTTTTTCGATAGTACTCAAGCGACAAGTAAAGAAATGCTTGATTACAAAATCGAAATAATTAAATCCCAGAATGGATCGTAACAGAGATAACTGACCGGTTACCTAGCAATAAACTGATAAATATGCTCAGTGTATTGCGAAGAAAATGGCGCGTGAAATGAAAAACTATTTTAGAATAACGCGCTTGTTACGTGGTTTCCATAGTTATATATATTTGTTACTTGTCTTTAATTACTTTTGCAAAAGCAAACCACCTTTTTCCTTGACTCCTTTCCCACTTGAACTTTACAACATGGTCAACGTAAAAAACTTCAACAATTTACACAAATGCATATTCAACGTCATTAATGGGACCAAAGCTTAACTTTGGATTAACTGCAATTGCACATAATAATAATTTTTCGGTTTACTAATACTAAAAACGTAACTCTTATTTAGATTAGCATATTTTCAATACCATTTGTTTACCAGCATTTTTCTCGCCCTGACAGAACACGTGAGATTATCCAATACATTGAATTTACTCCCAAAATGTGAAAAGGTTTTTAATATCAACTGTCTTTTGTTTTTGAAATTCAAATATTTTTACCACGTACAGTCAATTGCAAATGGATCTGCTAGAGATTTGTCAGATTTTCTTGCTTGATATTGCACAATTCAGCTGATGCTTAATTCTTTCTTCTGTCTTTTTATTTCTCTGTATGCATGATAGGGGGTTTTCACTTTTAAAACCGAATCACAAACGCTACAGAAAGCTATCTGGTTATCGACTGATGAGACTTAATCTTCGTGACTTTTAATATGGCATTTCTCATGACTAAATTTCAGGTATGAAACCAGAAATTTTCTTCAGTTTAACGAAGAATTTGGATTAACGAGGTTGACTATTTATATCCCGCTCGATCAGACAATTAGTTCAGCCAGAACAACGCATCAATTTGCAATTAAAATCCAAGAAACTTATTTTACGTACTAATATTGTGAAGAAAAAAAGCAATTGCCACCTCAATGCTTACCAGTAATCAAAAATGAAGCGGCATTTGAATAAAGTTCGAGATTAAAAAATTGGATAAAATTTCTCAAATTACTGTACAAACTTTAAAAAATCGTTGTGATGAGATGTTACGTGTATTAAAAAAAGGTGATATAATCTTATATTAAAATTTTTATACACGTAACCAAGTACGTAATAAAGTAGTAACGAGCTTTCAGATAAGGCTACTTTTATTTGTTTCTGTTGGGTAATTGCTAGATATACAAGTTTATAAACGCGTGCCATTTTCCCCGTAACACATTGAGTATTGATCCTCGCGTTGTTCCAAATGAGATTATATATGAGAATTTTTTGGAAATAAATATGTAGTTTGCGAAGGTGGCGTCATCGTTGGCTAGCAGCAGTGGTGTAGTTAGCGGCCTGAAAGAGTGTCGTTTCGGAATTACGTAAAATATTCATACCAAACCCATTGATCATGAAGATGTTATAAAACAGAGATACAGTATAGTTAGCATACGATGATATCATTAATGGATATCTTAGTAAATCCATACATGTTGTATAATTTATTTTTTAGACATAAATCTCCTTTCAAATTGTTGCGATAACCATATTAGATAACGGCATTAACATTCCAATTTGTTTTATTGTAACAACATCACGCTCTACCGACCATTATCGTTTTCCTAGTCACTAAATGCTTAGAAAACATTCGTTGTCGGCACGTAAGTTGAGATAATCACATAGTTTAAGTACGAATGCAAAAGACATTCACGTCATACCGGTAATATGCCTTTAATAGGATTGGTCGAAATAAAAACTTTTAATAAATCGATTACCATCTCGACATTATACTGTACGTTTACATGGCAGTATTAAATAAAGTAAGTATTAATATTAACACGATAGTGTATTATCATTATTAATGAACCTTTTAGGGCTCTATTCATCCACATATAGTAAGCTGTTACATAAATGTAAGTACATTTTCTACAGAATAAATAGTCGCGCCCTTTTAACAACCCCCTTCTTTGAGATAAGATTATATCTTTTATACCAAGGAGACTGTATTATCCTCTTGTTTATTCAGTTATGATGAGTACAAATTGTGCTACAATAATCGATTACTACACGTCTATCTGGAATTACATGATACCAGTAACAGAAAATAATTCATTATCTACCATTTTAATTTGCCTAAATGGAATGTTTATTTTGATTTAAAACAGGTTGTGAAAAAATTAACAAAAAACCCCTATTTTTTACCTTGGCACATAAACGAGTTTTGACAAAGTGCTTACTGATTCTCTATAATTGCAACAAAAAACTAGGTTACAATGTAAATGAATCAGGAAAATTTCTGCAAAAATGATCAGGCTGGCCACCTTGAAATGGCAAAAGCTGTATCACCATTCTTTCTGTTGCATCTACCACTATGTCAACCATTATGTTGCCCTAGTTCCTTACCACTGTCATCTTCCATTAATATTACATCTTAATTTTCATCTTCATTTTCATCTTTGGATTCATCTTTTTTTCTCCTCTTTACCATTAGTACCCTTGCTCTCTTGTTGACCCACCCTAATGTGCCCTATCAACTTTATGGTCATAAATTGAACAGCAGAGCAATTGTAATCGTGTGCATACTTATTGATGATTTCACATCACAGAACAAGAAGATAATGTTCTATTTATTGTGCCTGGTCCCTCTAATACTAGTGCAGCATATTAATATAGAGAATTACAAAATCCTTAACCTGTGTCTTTTGGGATACCTATTTCAATGTAAATTTAGAAACATTGCCAGAGAGCTACTTGGGAATATCTTTTGCAACCTGATGACAGATTTCTATGACAGAGAAGGAATGACTGTGCTGTTGCAAGGAGGGTGCAGACATTGTTCTACACAATACAGCACTGGTACTGGTGACAGAGATGATCTGTCTTGAATCCTCATCTGCCCATAAATTTAATTACATAATCAGTGAAAGCAACAATATGAGTCGAATGCTGTGAAATTATATAATTTCAGATAAGATTCAAGTATGAGTTTAGGTAGCCTGATGGTACACCTCTCTTATGGGTGCTCTGGGATTGAGATACATAATAGATCTGGCAATAAGTGACCACAGTGAAAGGCATTATGGCAGTGAGCAGAGAAGTAGTGCATGACATTAATAATCATGAACGCGTGATTTGCTTCCATGAAAGGTGTATAATAAGACCTGTGATGTAATAATTTAGCCGACGCAATTTGGGCATAGTTAATAGATATTTATTTCGAACAAGAGTTTTTGTTTTGTTTTTTACAAAAAGCCGAGCTTTCAAATTGATCCAATAAAAGTATATGAATGAAATGTTCCGGACTTCAACATCTGTATTAACCACTTCAACTCGTCCATCCTCTTCTCGAACCCGTCCATCCTCATGTTTATCGTCTTCTCGACCCCGTCTATCTTCACATCCACACGCTTTATTTTTTCCTCCATCATATGGTTGGCTGCCAGGCCGAACGCCCCCAACACTGATAAAAACTTCCCTGCGGGTTTGCCATATCCGTTCTAGAGAGTGAGGAATTCTGAAATGTTTACACTATATATCTAGATCTAAAATTTTTGGAGGTAGTTCACATGAGAAGTACACTCCCCTCTTACTTTAGTGTAATTGAATAATTTGTGGAGAAGTGGCATGCTAACGAGCCTAAAATGACATTGCTCGTGCAACATTGTTTTTTACAAGGAAGCAATACGAATTTATAAACTACAAGCAATTGCTTTTATAACATCCTCTAATCCTTTTGTTCTCCTTGATGCGCCCGAAAGAGTGTAAAATGTTGGGCCTTAATAATGTCCTCCAACCCTTTTGTTCTCCTTGATGCGCTTGAAAGAGTGTAAAAATGTTGGGCATCGACAACACGCCTGATTCGATCCCTTCTCTTCAAGGGGAAGATTCCGCTGACATATTGCATGTCGTCTCTGTTGAATCTGTGTTGTCTTTCGTAATCGTAGCATTGGCAGAAGTACGAAGTTGTAAAGATACTTGAGCGAGCCATTATTTTCTATGAGGTTTTTCGTCTAAAGATTAGAAAACGTTTGCATAGGTTAACTTTTACTCAGACTTTACAGGAGCATGTCCTTGTTCAGCTGCTATAAAATTTGCCCTACCTCAAGATTATTCTGCTCTTGTATTAAAGATAACTGATCGCATTGTAGTGTCTGGGAGGCAAAAAATTGTACCAGGTATTGTCGAGACATGTGTTTATTAACATAGGCCTCAACACGCTCTACCAAGTTCTGGGAGATAATTAATGGTAAATAGTTTTATTCCAGCTTGTATATAAAAGCATGAAGTCTGCTTTTCGTTTCAGCTTGCGTGTGCAGAACAGATTAGTGTGATTAAGGTAATGTTTGCCATTTATAGGGTGGTGACGTTGATGATGTCATCATCGTCATATAAGATTAGTAAGCATTCAAAATTTATTTTCTTTGTTGTCTCGGGGGAGAAATTCCTTCCGCTCAGCGGTACAAACATCTCTAACATCGGTACGATTGTCAAGAATTGCGCAGAAGTATCAACAAAAATAATGACGGAATTCTTAACAAGCTATAATTAGCCAATCCCATATATCGAAATTTCTTGACAACGCGAACACAACGAAGTTAGAGGTTCGGAGGTCTTTATTAGGCCCACGAAATTAGAACTGTCATGAAATATGCAAAACACAGAAGACATGGATAAAAACAAGAGACGAATGCTATTAAAACAAGAGACACTTATATAAAACACGAGAGACAAACAAATAAAACAAAGATATTCATATCTATATTGTAAAATTTTTTCATCTTGGCCATAGTAGATCGACAGTTTGTATGTATGACGTGATTGTCAGCTATGCTTTATAAATGAACCAATCGATAATATATCGTCAGTAATTGTGTAGGATATAACTAATAATTATTATCGATTAGTGCTTTTGTCATTCGTAGAAAAGTCTGATGCGAATTGCATGAATTCTAGTCTTACGAAATAAAAAAAATAAAATTGTGGTTGCCATTTCTGTCATTGTACACGTGTCACCGTTTACATTCTGTGTAACTTGAAATATTTTAATTGGATGAGCGATTTGTATGTGGCGGTCAAAAAATGAATCAGACATCAATTAACCAAATATCGTTACGTTGTATTTGCACTAAAGTAACTAGTTAATAATAATTATTGAGCATTCTTCGTCGGCCAGCGTCAACTTATCCTCATACTATACAAGTATGTCATTTTGGTTTTTTCAAGTTCAATAATATAGATTTATTGTTTATTCTAATACTAGGCTAAAAGTTCAGAAACTAATATTTACTTCCGTTGCTGATAATTCAAGAGAGCTGGAAGGCTACTAATTGG